TTAACCTTTCTACAATTTATAATGAAATTCACAAAGTTGTTGTCGTAAATATTTCATTCAAATTGTAAGAAATTTATCTGAGCCCCTGTCGATATTTCTCCTACAATTTACCACTACAATTTTATAGTCAAATTTAAATTTACCTTTAGTTAACCTTACTACAAACTTGAGTCGCATTTTCTACAAAACGACCTCTACAACGTTATAGTAATTTTTCTTACAGCATTTTTCTGAGTGCACTCTTTCCTATCCTGAGCTAATCTTCGCATTTCCCTAAAACTGGAACAACCCACACCCTTAACTATTTGCGCACAGTAATCCAATCTAGGTCTACCTCTACCCCTCCTAACTCCCGTTTCTGCTTCTCTCTCTGACTAGACCTTCATGCCTGAGAAGGTGTCCTACTAACCTATCAAAGTTTTTTCTGAAATATTTTAATTATTAAGTTAATTAATTCAAAGACATTTATAAGATTTAAGTAAGCTTTTCGTTGTTATTTGTAACAAAAAACTCAAGATGTATATTCTTTTTTAAACCTACCACAAAAAGTTATATTCATCCCCGTTTCAGAAATCACTGAAAGTAAAATTGTGAAAAACCTCAGTTTAATAAAAGCTAACTAACATTATAAAAGATATACGGCGATTATCCTAAATTTCGGAAAGTTTAAAACTTAAACAAAATAAAATGCTATATTGTTTTTTAAGTTAGTCGCTTGCTCGAATTATGCGCTCTTACTATCACCTAACTGCTTCGTCAATTTGATTGCGATTTTGCTATTTTCAAAAAATAAATTAAAACTCGAGATTTATTTAATGTTCTATTTTGAGTTGAGCAATAAGTAATTATAGCTTGTAACCAGTAGCAAATACGTGATGATTTATAATGTAAAACGTATATTCCAAAGCCAACAAAACTTAAAAGCAACTTTAATTCTATACCGATTGTATACCACTTTATTTCTTGCTGTTCAAAAAGAATAATACACGTTCTACACTCAAAATTAATCAATATGAACACAAACAAAATATTTAATTATCATAATAGAATTAATGATCGCCGTTGGCGTAACAATCGACTTGTTCTCTTCGAATACTGTTTTTTTGTTATTTTAAACGGTACAAAATATCTAGAAGTTGAACTTTTGAATATGAATTTATCATGAGACGTCTTATAAGATGTCTTATATAATAAACATTGTATTTTGCAACAATTGCAATGGAAATTGGTTCTACAATGCTTTATTCGCGACAATAGTTATTATAACATTGTTCCTTTTATAGTAAGCAATTAATAAAATGGTAACCGTTTAACTTTGAAGACGTATTGTAAAAGCAGCATAAAAAGTGAAATCCGTTATAACTCCATTATTACTGGTGCATCTTCTAATAGCTACAGGATGTTTATTTTATTTTAACTAAAAGAATGTTCTTGCGTGTACACACATTTGACTGTTGAAAATTTAAGTTAAATAAAACCATCGGTTTATAAAAAAAATAACAATATCAAGGTGTCTATAATGATAGTGTATTGCCTAAACGTTCAATAATGGAGAGATGATTGTGTCATAATCAGAGATGTGATTTATTTGAAATACTTGCATTTAAAATGCAAATACAAAATAAAAAATACCTATTTTTATATTGCATTTAAATACTTTTTTGAGAAAAGCATTTTGTATTTTATTTAAAACACTTCTCGATACGTATTTTCTGTTTGTAAAATGCAAATACATTTTTGTCGTTAAAAGTTTTGCTAGCATCACCGATCAAACATTATATAAAATGATGAATGAAAGTTGCTCACATTGACTATTGAAGGTATTAGAAGCTTAAGAAGGGAACAACGAGACATTCCATGAATGTCTTCTAATTTTTTAACCAAACAGAGCTTAACAAATTGTAAACTCCTTGAAAATGGTAATCTAAAATATTGGATCGATATTGTTTTCCGGGTTCAATGTCAGGGTCCATGAAATTTTGAAGATTCAAATTGATATCAGCACCTGCCAAATCACCACTTATCGTNCCTAGGTTTTACCCTGGGTTTCGCTCGCGTTGATGTCTTTGGTACGTGTCAAAGATCATCAACGACTACATAAAAGTGATTTTTCTATCCTTCTGGAACACTATTTTATTTTGTATAAAATGTACCCTATGTCTTTTCGGTACCCCTAACAATGTGTGTGAAAAAATTTATGATAGGTTTTACCAGCGGCTTCGCTTGCGTTTATGTCCTATGCATGTGTCAAAATCATCGACGTTCACTTTTAAATTTTTTCTATCCCTCGGGAACATTATTTTATTTTGGATATGTTTTTTCTGTACCTCCGACAATGTGTGTACAAAACTTCATGATAGGTTTTATCCGCGGTTTCACGTGCGTTGATGTCCTACACGTCATTGACGTCTATTTGAAACTATTTTTTGTATCCCTCAGGAACAGTATTTCTTCTGGATATAAGGTACCTTATGTCATTTCGTATACTCTTGACAATGTGTGTACAAAATTGTATGATGATCGGCTGAGTAGTTAGGCATGAAATGATATACAAACAAACAATTTCACATTCGCACATTTATATTAGTTAGGATAAGGATAAACACAGGAAAGAAAGGCAAAACGGGAAACTATGTATAAAATTATATTATCTTCCTAAATAGATAGGTATGCTAAAGGCGTCCTTCTTGATTACCCCAAGGTACTTCAATTGTCTCTGGAATGGCCAGCGCCCCCCAGGAAGGTTCTAACGTTCCCTGGGGGCGTTATTGTTCTTGTTGGAAATCTATTTTGTATTTCACATTTGAAATAACAAATCAAAAAAGTATTTGCATTTTGTATTTAAATACTTTCAAAAAAACATTTTGCACATCTCTAATTATAATAACGCAGAACTTCCCAATTCGGTTAAGGTTTCGCTATACATATTTATAGTATAACTTCAAGTAACTAAATTGTTTAATAAAATTGATCAGTATTGTCCAACGTGCACACGATAAGAAAAAACTTCTTTCGAACTCATTTCACTTCCACTAGCTACTAATGCTAATGGAGGAGCTGTCCTCCGACCTACACTCTACTGCAATTCTGGAGGGTTGGATGGAAGGACCTTTTCAGCATTTTTGTGAAATAGTGGAAATAGTGGATAGTGGTTGGGAGCAAAACAATTGAGACAAACAAACTGAAGACAAAAGAGAAGATGGATTATCTTTCGCACCCAATAGATGTGGAATATTGCTGCCACAGCTTTGACCTAAATGAACTAAGAAAACTACAGAAAAACTTTGACCATGTCTGGCTGACCCGAAACCAGTATCCTCCCGAATGCTAAACTATGATATATAGACCGTCAAAATGGCTTTAAATGAAGCTGCTGGTTAAAACCATCTCCGACATTTTTCCAAATTTTCAGATAGTCTTATTTAGAGAAATGTTTATATTTAATCAAAGTACGATTTACTTTTGACATAGTTGTGTGATAATTCATAATTATTCATTCTAGCCCCTTAACTCTAAACAACAGAAAAAGGTACTATTAAAGTTTTAAATCTACAAGTGGTCCTTATTACGATGGTACAGTAGGCAGATCAATGATATCTTTACGAGCGATTTTTGTTTTTTGATTTATTTCTTTATTTCTACACGCAAAGAATTAATAAATGGAGTAACGGGTGTTCATAAATTAACTCAACGACAAAAAATCAAAAATAATTTATAATTATCTTAAAGTGAATAGAAATTTAAGATTCTAATTCGATCTGTATCTGTAATCAGTAATTAAAATACCAATCGCAAACTTATCAATGATGTTTGAAATGCATCATAGTGTTGCATCGAAGTGATATTGATTTAGTCTTAAAAAAAGGATTTTAATCAAATTTTTATGAACTAATACATGATGACATGAAACAGTGGCACTTCGCGTAAAGGCACTACGGAATTGCAGTTCACCCTTCAACATTTAAAGGTGCAAAAATCTTTGATAGACTAGTGCACATCACAGTTCCTAGTGTCGAAAGGTAAAATCCAATGCTATCCCTGCGGGCAGACTACACTAACGTCTTCTGCAACCAATCCCACCAACTGTGGGAAAACCTATAGCTTTAGTAAAAAGTGTGAAAAAGGGCCGAGGCAACCAGGCCTACACGAATGACAAGGATCAGGAGAAGGTGACGATCCCAAGACCCCTAGGTGCCTTACCAACGCCTAACTACGTGTAATCTGATTGAAAGGGGGTCTCATCCCTCAAACATTCAATGAGTGGTAATACAGGAGACCCAAGGGCCTTAGGTAGGAAATATTCCTGCTTGCCCGGCCGTCTGAGGTTAAACTCATAGTGGTAGTGGTAGTAAGTGCGTAGTGGTTACACTCCACATGCTATGAGAGAAGAATAGGCACTCTGATTGTTGAGCGGTCTGTATCAACTCAGGTACCAAGTCATGTAGGCATTAGATAGATCCCATCCGCACCAAAATGTTCTGGGGAGTCTTGTTCACCTACAAGGAATAACTGGTGATGATGTCCATTGAGCATATCTCAATCTCTCGCTCATGGGGGTAGTGGTGGGTAAAGGTGGGAATCACCACGCTAATCTAAATAAGCCGAGGGTATCACCCAGGTATGTCGTAGTGTTTTACATATCGTACATCAAATTCTGCTCAAGACGCCGAAGATGAGAGCAACAACAATAGGGAGAATTGTGGCTCTTTCAATACCGACCCTGTCGTATTAGTGGAAATAGTATTTTTACTCCACGTGTATTATACATAAAAACCTTGTACCATATTCTTAAATTTTTTTTTTATTGCTACATGTTTGTTTCCTCATTCAATTTCAAACCGATGGCTAAAATTTTTCTGAAGCAGCTTCCTTACTAATTTTAACCAAGTTCCTACTTACCTAAGTATAAGAAAAGGAAATACAAAATTTTTAGTTAAAATTTCGGAATTATATAGATAGCTAAGATTACGTATCTATTTTGAAATACCCATTATTTGTAGGTTACGCCTATGATCCAGATTGTATGTATATTAACGGAACCGGAAGAGATTATTATGAATTCTATATTCAACTTAATAGATGTGGAACGCTAGGCAAAAATACACATAACGAAGACAACAGAAAATCACCAACCGTAAGTAATTACTTATGCTTTGCGTCAACAGTTGCCCGGGTAGCTCAGTCGGTAGAGCATTGGACTTTTAATCCAAGGGTCCAGGGTTCAAGTCCCTGCTCGGGCGTTACCCTTTTTTCGACTTTTTGCTTTCCATCTTTTCACTACAAAAGATTCTATTGATACTTGAATGTTTTCATTTGAATTTATTTTATATATTTTAGAAAAATTTCATGTGGAACACCGTTACTGTTCAATACAATCCACTTATTGAAGAAGAATTTGACGAGCATTTCAAGGTTACTTGCGAATATGGCTACGATTTTTGGAAAACGGTTACATTTCCATTTTTGGATGTCGAGTAAGTATAATCGATGTATGTTCAATATCGAACTAAACAATGATTACAAATCCTAAATTTAGAATTACCTTAATGTTAAATAAAAATTATTCTTGTTTTAGAGTTGCAACTGGAAATCCAGTTGTTTTTACTTTAACTCCTCCGGAATGTTATATGGAAATTCGTTATGGCTACGGTGTTTCCGGTAACAGAGTAACAGGACCAGTAAGGGTAGGAGACCCTTTAACCCTCATTATTTATATGCGCAGTAAATACGGTAAGCTGATTGAATGTAGAAATGTGATACTTTTTGACCTATATTCCTAATTTTTTAACCAAGAGATCTTCGTTAAATAACTGCCAGAAGATACGTTTACTTTTGATTTCGAATTTAGAGATAGAAACACTGCTGGCTGATTGAAAACCAAACATATTCCATTATTTGCAATCATCAAAGAGCGGCATCATACGCATACCTTTAACCACCGTTTCATACAAATTATAAACTAACATAAATCCAATAAATTTAAAGCATTTGAAGTGTGTTAGAATTTTTCTAAAGATAATGCTATTTAAATTAAAAATGATTATATGGAATAGAGACTTTTAGGTTTGATTATAGTCATGAATTTGGACAATAATAGACGACTAAATTTATCAGATGTACAGGAAAAGGTCTATTTCATCCCTTGGTCAATCAATCCAAGGGTGACCGAAATGAAGTTGTTAATGCCTAAATTGAGTCACTGGGTTGGATCACAAATCTAACATTTTTGAACAATTTAAAACACAAACTCTTCAACAACTTTGAAGAATAGTTACGTTAAAATTTCACTAACAGTAAATTGAGATAGATATCCACTAAACCTTTATGCATAGATACAAATAATTACGTAGTGGTAAATAACAAAGTGACATACTTTGTGTAAATTTAACCTAATACATCCACACCAATAAATTTTCCATTAAAGACCAACACTTCTTTGTTTCTGCCTTTGATTATAATGAATCTTTGGAGTGATTATTAATGCGTCAATTTTGACTAAAAGAGATCGTCATATCGTCAATTTTAGGCTGATCAAACTTCCTGCGATAAATAGTTGACTGATATTAAGCACATAATTTCCGAAGATTAAAACGTGTCTCATTGGTTTTTAAATTTTTTTATAAAATAATGTTAGAATACTCAGTTGAAATAGCTTTACGTTTGCTAAGTTGAAAAGCAGCACTACAAAGTATTTAGGCAGTAAAAAATTAATTACTTAGTTAAAAGTTAAACGTAAGTTTTGAAAATTGAAAATTAATAAAAATCGTTGTCAAATATGTGTATCGTCTAATAAATTAAATTACTGGGTCTTCGTTTTAACTTTTGAGAACAATTAATTCCTGAAAAATTGCTAACCAATCATATTACTTTTAATTTAGTAGTTTTAAAAATATATACAGAATGTTTGGGATCTACAGCCACTTAAGAGTATTTTGAAGTAATTCAAAATTTTATATTTCAAAAAATGAAAAACGGTGTGTTAATTTTCTTTGGAAATTAGTAAAGGCTTTTGCGACCAGTAGGTGAACTGATGCTGTCCTTATTCGGGTCTAAAGACCACCGTCGGTTGGAGTTGGTTAATGTTTCGAGTGGCGAGCATCTTTAGAGGTCCTTCCATCTCCGATGCTGGATGTGGACTGACCAGAATCAGGACAGCATCAGTTCAATTCTCTTAGGATTAAATACAGACCTGAATCCTTCAGAAAGTTATCATTTGAGTTTTTATGTACTTAAAAGTATATAACATATCTTCAGATTTGTTTTTGGGTTTCACTTCGTGTCCTTTTTTAATTTTCAATTTGTATATTTCCACCAGTTCATAAAAACAACAAAACGACCATAACAGATAAAATCACTTATACGAGGGGAGGTCCATAAGTTCGTGGAATGAAGGGGAAGGGGCGGAGTTTAAAATTCTCACTGTACACCTCGCGAGTTAGGGATTCATCATTAGTATATAAGTGAAATTTCAAGTTTATGAAGTTATTTGTTTACGAGTTATCACCCTTCAAACAAATCAGTTCGGAAAAAAATCGCGACGATAGAAAAAATTGATCATCGCGCTGTGATAAAGTTCCTGACAAAACAAGGAAAGTCAACTCAAACTATAAGGAGGGAAATGGAAGCCATTTACAGTGATCACTGCCCTAGCCAAACTATGATTTACAAGTGGCATGGACAATTTAAAGATGATAGAGAGTCGATTGAAGATGATCCCCGCCCTGGACAGCCGATTTAGGCCACCACGTCGAACATCACTGAAAAAGTCGAAAAATGAATTTTAGAAGATGAAAAAGAAACAGTTATGGGCATTAGTTTGAGTGTCAGATATCACAATTTTAAGAATTTTACACAATCATCTTGGCATGACTTAAGTCAGTACAAGATGGGTACGAAGAATGCTTACGCCGAGTCAAAAGCAACAGCGAATGGACGCATGCAAGCATTTTTTGCAACTGCATGGCGACGAACCTACCACGATATTGGAGAAAATTGTTACCGGAGATGAAAGCTAGGTTTATCACTTCGAACCTGAGTCCAAATAGGATTGGATGCAATGGTACAAAAGAGTTACACTACCCCCTGAGATGTTTAAGGTGTCGAAATTGACTAGGAAGTTGATGACTACAGTTTTTTGGAACTGTGAAGGAATTTTGCCAGTTGATTACAAAGAAAAGGGCCCCACAACTACTATGTTTCAATACTAAAAAAGTTAAAGGCTGCCATCAAGGAAAAAAGAAGAGGAAAATTGACGAAAGGTACAGGATAATGTGCCAGTTCACGAGTGTAGAGTTGCAATGGTTGCACTACACAGACAAGGGTTAGAATCTCTAGTTCACCCACATTACAGCCCACTTGGCTTCCAGTGATTTTTATTTATTTCCAAATTTGAAAAAGGAGCTCAGGAGGCGAAAATTTTCCAATGACAATGAAGTCAAAGAAGCCGTTTCTGCCTATTTTGAAGGCAAGGACAAAAAATATTTTTTTGAGGGTATCGAGAAGTTAATTTCAAGATCTAATAAATGTATTGACTTTACGGGGAATTATATTGAAAAGGAAAAATAACTTTGTATTTTTATTTGTTTTACAACACTTCCATTCCGCGAACTTTTGGACCTTCCCACATGTCTTCTGTTAAACATTTCTTTTGTCCTAAAACAAGTTTTCTGAATCTAAATTAATTTATCATTTCAGATGGATTTGACATCGTTGTGAACGACTGTTACGCACACAATGGTGCCACTAAAAAGATTCAATTAATCGATGAGTACGGGTAATGCTATCACTATTTATTGTCTTGGTCTAAATTAGATCTAATATCACTGTTATTATAGATGTCCTGTCGACGATAAACTAATATCCCGGTTTCGGGGATCTTGGTCTGACAGTGGTGTATACGAGACGCAAGTTTTTGCCTACATGAAAACATTTCGATTCACTGGATCCCCCGCGTTGTACATCGAATGCGACGTTAGGATGTGCCACGGAAGATGCCCGGTAAGAAATTCACTATTTTAACCAAAGTACCAAGTAAAACACTTTCTCCAAATAAGTACCATTAAACAAAAATTAAAAAGTAGTGTGTTAAAATAGGGTGGTGCCACAGTAGCAACAGGGTAAATTTCAGATAAAGCGTCAAAAATTAGTAGAATAAAATAGAAAAATAATCAAGGTCATGCCGTAGCTTTTTTCTACGCTAGAGCCATTTTGGAGGGTTTTTTAAACTTTTATTTACTGCTTATAGCAGACACGCGTTGCAATATTTATTTAAACTAGATGAACTCGTCCAAATTTGGACGGAAGGTTACCGTTGTGTATGATGCACAGCATTCACATTTTAATTATGATGGTTCCCCATATCATAATATACCAATTGGTGAAGCATTTCCCAACATTTAAACACTATCAACACGTGAAAAGACAGGTGGTTTATAATCAAACATTCTGATTAAAAGACAACATTCCGGGTATCGTAAATAGGCCATTTAATTAGTTTCATTCTTTAATTACATGTTCTAATCATCAGCTAATTAGAAAATATCCTATCACCCGATATCCCGTTCGCACCAAGTATAAGACGCCATACATTTATGATACATGTGATGTTATAGAAAAATTACTTTTTTCAAATTTACACAAAATTGTACTCTTACATTTTCAAAGTATTCAATTCCTAGAGCATCACCATGGACTATCGATTCAGCCTAAATCTACCTATATACTACAGTATAATAATCACCCTTTCTGGTCGTATTTGCTAACTCTCAGTCACGCTGCTAACTTCATTCTGTCGAGTTTATCATTAGCGGCCAGCGCGGAACTTCCGCCCCTTTCTAAAATTTCACTCTCAACACTCCAAATGAAATACAACTTCAAAAACTAAAAATAGAAGACGGGAGGAGGTTTATACATTAATATAATTCGCAAATCAAATTTCTGCTTTTTTCTATGAAAACATTGTCAATCTCAAAAATTCCCTAGACTCACAGTGTTTGTACTGTTGTTATATTTTTCTTTAATAGGTGTTTATATGCATCCAAAAATAAAATAATGGCTATAGCTGCCACAGTTTATATAATTCATTTAATTAAATTAAAGTATTTAATATCATTAATATTTTTTACACCAACACAACTACCGGAACGTTCAACTCATAATAAAGAGCGTATACAAAACTTTTTGTTTTACTTTAGAGCCAAGCTTGTCACTGGAGAAACGTGAAAACAGTGAAAAAGAGATCCATTGATCAACTGAACTCAACCAAGACGCCGAGTCTTTCAGAAAACCTGAGTCTTTTCCAATCATTACGGGTACTGCAAGAAGGCGAAGATGATCAGAGTGAAAATGTAACAAGTACGGCAAGTAAGTACAATAATACTATACAATTGTGTAGAATATTTATTAATAATATTAAATAAATTGATTGACTAAGACAAAACATTTCTCCATTTGACCAAAGATGTACAAAAGTTATGGAAGAATAAATGCTCCATAAAATCCAAAGAAGTATTTTCTTCTAAGATTTTTCTGAAAAAATATGCTTAATTCCCAAAAACAACAAGATGACGATTTATCCCAGTTTTGTTTTTAATTGAATTCATTAGTATTCTTGATCAAGAGGTCATATCTGAATAAAATCGAAAATAGGCGTAGAAAGAAGGAACTACTTAGTGATTTTTCATTAATACTTTTGAAGAAAAACCGTACCTAACATAAATACATCTAATGAAGATTGGATATTCAACAGTGTGGCCCACAAAGAAACAACAGTTGTTTTCATTATGGATTTGTTGAATATTATCTTTAATTATAATACTGAATGGAGTGTCTATGAAGTTAAACTAATGGTATAAAAACTGAACACAATTTTGTAAATTTGTTAACAGTTTTTATTACTGTTAAGTCTTTTATATCAATATATCTCATCAATACTAATATTATGAGGACGTTAAAGTTTGCAAAGTTGAATGTAGGAGATAATCTCCGAATGTACTGATACTATTTCAAAATCAATTCTTTTACAAACATTTAGAATGGACCTGAAGGGGGAACATGGAAACATAGGCTGTCTGTTGTTCCGTCAAAATAAAAGGACAACAAACATCAATTTTTAAGGCTAATGGAGTCGTTTATATAACCAAAAGTTTACTTTAGCATAATTAATATACTGCTCTCATTTTATGAGGTTTCCACTATGCGATACTCACACTAGCGAGTGTATAATGCAAGAAAATTTTGTTTATATACTATTTTAATTTCAGCCCTCGTATCCAACCCGAACAATGTATGCTTAAAAGCCGGTTGGTTTTCTGCTCTGTTAGCGATAGGGGCTGGAATGATGTGCCTTCTTGGAGGCGCACTTTTAGCCACTTGCTCGAGGATGCGAAAGCTCGCAGTCGATAAGATGTTACCCGCCGAACAATTCGATACTTACGTCAATCATAAGGGAAGAATTAATTAATTATGTGACTACGACAACCTAGTATTTATTTGTCAATCACGAAGAAAATTGTAGACAGAGAATGAACTACAAAAGCATATTGAACCCGTACCTGTCGACCGTCAACTTATAAGCATTTAATATCTTACGACTGGTCAAGTTCTTTCAACCAAATTGTACCTACAAGTGACATTCAATAAATAAATACAGTTCAAGGATAACAACTGATAATAATGTTTAACCATCAATTGCTTTTGTTGTTTCGTGACTTTCGAAAAGTACTTAGAAGTGTTTTTACTCGTCTTTACATACTTGGAGGATTGAAATTATAAATTTAAATCTGAAGTAGTTCATTGTAATCGAATATCTCAAAATTTCAACCGATAATAAGGTGCACCAACAACAACTTTTATAATTCACTTCTCCAGTATGTTTCATTTTGATAATAAAAACGAAATGCTTAATTTATTTTAGTCTAAATGTAAATAATTAAATAAGTAATAAGTAGTTGTCTAAATAAAACGAATTACTGTATTCATTAGAGTATTAGCTTATAGAAATAAACCATTAAAATATAAATACGTTTTACTTTATAAAGGAGATCTTATTTCTGTCTTTCGATATGAGTGTTTCATAATATTCATAAAGCGAATACTAAAAGTTCAACTCAAAGTCATTCTTTTAGAAATTAAATTCTGATTAATATATACCAGATAAGCACGTAATTATACGTACATATTTTAAAAACCTTTTCAATTTTTTCATTTTTTAAACAACAATACTTCCGATCCTGATTGTTTCACGATGATGGCTGAGTATTTCTTACGGAATGGCTAAAACTATTCTTAACATTCACGCACAATATGCACAATGTTTGCTTAAATACACGGATAAGCCAAATTAATAATAAATTCATGTGTTCATTGGAAATGATTGTTTTAGAACTTTTATTACAACCAAATAAACTTCGGACTTAGCTGTTACAATGCCCTTTTTCGCCTAAACTTGACAATCGATTTGAAAATTTTTAATAATTGTCTAGTGTTATTTTAGAAAATACAAATACATTTTTATATATTTCTAAAGTGCACACTCAATGAAACATTTTTAATTGAGAAAGTAAAAAAACAATGAACTGTTCAAGGTATTTGTTGTATCTACATATGAATAAACTATCATATTAGTATAGGATTTTGTTTATGGTAGATGAACTACGGGTTTAAGAATAATTTATGGTACTTCATGTCGTGTGCCTGTACTATACCGGCAATATTTTCCAATCATATACCATACCATAATTTCAAAATTAACAGTACCTATCTGTGCAAAATTGTCGATATAGCACAATAAATTCGTTGAAACTCTCAATATTGTATTGTTTTTTAGTGTATTTTTAAGTTTATCGGCAGAAGAATTAATTTTAAATATTGTAATTTTTTTATTTAAAATTCAAGAAATGTTAAAAACAGAACAGCTGAATTAATATAGAGGTACCTAAAAGTTAGCATAATACAAGCATTAGTGCAATTATTTGAAATTCTTTAAATGAACTATAATAAAAATTGTATATTTTGACTTTAGTATGAAAGTAAATAGAAAGTAAAGTAATAGGAATATTAAATTTCGTAATTTGTGAATTCCTTTTTAATGAATGGTACATTGTATTATTATTTTATTATCTTTCCTTTCACCTGTTTTTAACTTCATTGCCAGTTAATTAATTAGCTATTTCTGTCTATTTCTACACAGTAGCTAACACATGAAAGAATTGAAACTTAATTTTGTTTCTTTCGGAATTTGATTTGCTTTTCACATGTGTATGTAAATATTTCAACATTGCATTCTGCATCTAATTAAATAGAAAAAGGATTTTCTGGAATATACTCTATATAATAGTTTCAAATTACTAGTTATTTTGTTAGAATTACGAAATTCCAGTTTGTTCAAATTTATTTTTATAAAAAAAAAGTTTGCGTTTATAGCGCCACTACAGTTTCTTAATTCTATGGTAAACATTCATAGAGAACAAATATTCAAAGAGAACATAGGTTGAAAAATTATATGGAAGTGTATAATAATACACTGTGTACCTATTATTTTATCCATATGTTACCAATGACTAATTTCACCACCGCATCATCACTTTAAAACAGTACGGATTAACTTGCTTTAATGATGGTTACGTTCATAGATAAGTTATGATTAATGTTAAATTTATTCACATTCTATGTTCCCATTAATCGCACCTTATCATCTATGATCATACCTTATCTATGAGCGTCTATGAGTTACAGGTTTTCTGAATAAAATGTCTATTTCTCAAGGTAGAAAATAAAATTCCGTAATTTTGGGTAACAATTAATTCTTCGTTGTGTAATTTTCTTTTAGATAATCGTCCTGAACTTTACGAGGAGGTGAAGCTTTTTCAAAATTCGCGAGAACGTGAGAAGCAAGTTAACAAAACTATGTTAATGTATTAAACCCAAGAAGTTATTTTCAGGTTTGATAATCTTGCTGATTTGTATGCTGTTATTAACACAATTCAACAATTGGAAAAAGCATACATTAGGGACTGTGTACCCTCAAAGGAATACACTGGTGCTTGTAGCAAATTATTAGTACAATATAAGGCTGCTTTCAAACAGGTGAAAAGCGATGAATTCCCCACAGTTGATGTCTTTGTTCGTAAATACAGGGTAAATAGTTGTTTTATATTTCACACACTTTGTGTAATAGTAAATTCTTTAATCATTTATTAAAAGTTATATTTTGGGGTTCAAGCTTGACTGTCCTGCTGCTTTGGAAAGAATAAGAGAAGATAGACCAATCACTATAAAAGATGACAAAGGAAATACCAGTAAATGCATTGCAGATATTGTTTCTGTAAGTAATTTGATACCCCTATAAATTATTATAAGTAGAGGTACCTAATTTTTTATCTCTTTTTATGTAGCTTTTTATCACCTTAATGGATAAACTTCGTTTACAAATAAAAGCAATGGATGATCTTCATCCTGAATTAAGAGATTTAGTTGATACGATGAATCGATTAAGCATTTTACCAGCAGAATATGAAGGAAAGCAGAAGGTAGCTGAATGGTTAGCAACACTGAACTCAATGCAGGCCTCTGATGAATTATCTGATTCTCAAGTTAGGCAATTATTGTTTGATTTAGAAGCGGCTTATTCAGAATTTAATAAAGTTCTTCATACTGCTTAATGCATCACTCAACAGATTTATTTTTCTAGTTAATAATTTTATTTTCAGTTAAATATATATATGTATATATACTACTACTATACTGCATTTAGAATAGAACATATATTTTGTCATTTGTATTAAGAAATAAAGAAAATAGTCATATTATGTTCCTGTTTGACTTTAAATGTACTGTATTGAAGAAGCGAATTTATCTGCTTAATTTATTTGACATGTAATCACGTCAATATTACATTAAAAGCGATTTTATAATTTAGAATGATTAATCAACAATTTAATTATGGTTAATTAATAGTTTAACAATATAATAATAATAATCTTAGCCTACCTTATTAGATAATTGAGGAACGTGGAAATGATAGGGAATCATAGGGTGAGTAAAGACGATAAGCCGTTTCACCACCCTGCATCTTCGTTATCTTGAATTTAACTATCGACTTCTCTTGATTCGGCTATGACTTATTATAATTATTGATTCCGCTATTTAAACGGTTAATTATTGACCTACTAACACAGTAGGTAATTAGGTGTTAGCTTGCAGTTTTTAATAAACAATTTAGATGTACCAATTTTGTACCAGTGACCTAAATATGAATTTATGGATACTATGTAGCTGTACAATAAATTATTTTTTATCTTTTAATTTAATGGAATTAGCCAGATTAACTTAGATGTGTTCCTAAATTAAGAAATTAGGTGTAGGCCTTACATTTTTGAACCAGTTACTGCAAATGGAACTAGATGTAAGCAAAACAATATATATTTTTTAATTGATGCTTCATTTGTAAGCAATAGATCAAACATTAAAAAAAATCCTATTGATGATGTAGTTGAATTGGAAGAGAATATCTGATACCTACTAATAACAATGAAAATATTAAGGATGCTATAAATGTGAAAAAGAAAGTCACAATCCGACTTTATTCCGAATTTTTTTCCATTTAGGTATGATTTTATTATGTGATGATTTTTGTGCCCTAAGTATTTTTTTAACAAAATACATTTGATAAAAACAGAAACATTTTCGGTTGCCAATTGTATTAACTGAATCAACGGTAATGATTTCAACACACAGGGCCTTTTTCAAGTGGAAGTTTATACATGTTTATAACTATAATAAATCTAAGTTGCAACTGAAATGATTCTATTTAAATCAATTATTATAAAGTGTTGCAAGAGTTAAAAGCCTAATCTATTCAATAAAATACATTTAAGAGCTTACAAGTAAAAAATTATTAAGAAATAAATTACCTATCCTTTTTTGCTCATAAATTGTTATTTATGTAAATTTTTTTATTTACCTAATTTCTGATCGAATATTTTAAATACGTGCCACTTGTAGAAAAACTTGCACAGAAAAAAATGGTATGTACCTATAGCTCCAACAACAGATCATCTGTGTTTACCTGTTTGTACCTTCATTATCTGACACTTTTTCTAAATATATTCTCGTTTTCTTACATTTTTCCCTGAAAAATGGGATAATTTCTTAAAGACGACAGAGGTGCTATATTGTTGGTATATTTTTTTAGAAAATGTATGTTTATATGTATATATGCTACACCATGTATCTGTAGTGTATAATTATTTAATATCTTACCATACATACACATTACACATTCTGTATAAAATAATTATAAATAGCATTTTGTTTTATATGCACAATCTTTAATTTCGACGCTCTTCTGTTGCTAATTTTGTAGTTGTTCTATGTGCAGCTAGAATTTGCTCCAGTCTACCAGTATTTACAAAAGTAATGGCATTAATTTATCACACAATTAGGTAGTAGTTTATTAGAATGAGGAAATCACATGCTAATAATAAAATGGTTGTGTTCGCACTTGTGTGACGTGGGGGCTTGATCTAAAATTTTGTGGCCTATAAATTTGAGGTTCTTCGTTCAAACTGGGATTGTAACCGCTTTCAGAATTTAAATACGCGCTCGAGTCATCATGAGGGACAATTATGGTTCCGTGATTTGTTGGCCTTATTTGGTAACTTGGCTTAAATTGTTGATTTGTTCTGGATCTTTGGAAATTGTTGTAAGGAAATCCTTGAACGTTACTAAAGCCAGTTGGATAACTCCTTATGGGCAAGTTTGGTAAAGTTGGATTAATTGCTTCATTCAACGTTACATCATACTCATCATCTGGAATGTCTAAGGGACTTTTCTCATCATAAACCGGTTTATTTGTTGTTGTTAGAGGTTCGGGTAATTTTGCTTTGAAATTAGCCCTAACAACCGTTTGGTGATTACGAATGGGTTTTATGTCTTCCTCTTGAGATGCTTCTACGAACGGTTCATCAACGTATTTATTTTCCACTGGAATCTTTATTATTTGAGGAGAAGGTTTGAAAAGTGGTTTCTGGTTAATTTGTTCTGGTGTATCTTCAGGAACTTTATACTGTGCTGTACTTGTACCGTCTGTGTTTTCATTTGAAAATGATTTAGTTGGTACTTCAGGTTTGAATTGTTTTTGTACATCAACTGAGATGGGTTTTACATTTTGATGTTTTTGAGTTTCTTCGTTCTGACTATTTGTTGTTAAAGTATCTTCATATATTTCTTCTTCTTCTTCTACTTCCTCCTCGTTTACAATTTGTTGATGTTTAGATAAATTTTCGTCTTTGATTTTAACTTCTGGCGAGTTTTCTCGTATCCTTTTATCTTCTAATGATTTTGCCCCAACGGGCTTAAGTCCTCTTGGTGAATAGGGATTACCGCCGCGACTAGGAAGAAACGGTCTTTTAACGACTCTTACGTAGGACTGGTGATGTCCCTTTCCAGATTCCACCCTTGCCGTGGTTGCTTCAACAATTTTTTCTGTAGGTTTAGGTGGTTGATCTTTTTCTTTATTTTTTTGAGGTGTTCTAGTAGTTGGCTCCTTTCTTTCTTCTTCTGAAAATTTAGATTCCGTTCGCACTGTTGACTTCTTATTTTGAGATTTTGCCGTTTCCATTTCATCTTCATCCACAGGGTCTTCGTCCACGACCGGGCGTTTCCTGTTGGCTCCGTTACGTCCGGTTGGTCTGTACCTGTACGGACGCCGTGGCTTTGGCCGTTCCTCTTCAACTTCTTCTTCATTGTAATCATCTACGGGTTTGCGATACCCTCCTCTCGGCCTAGAACCGTAACCTGCGGCCTTTGTCGTTTCTTTTATTTCGGTTCGTTCTAGAGATGATTTAGTTGGTCGTTTTGGAGAACTGTTGGTATTATTTTGTTTTTGACGTGGTTTAGAACGTGATGGCGGTAACTCTTCTTCTTCATATTCGTAGTAATCTGTTTCTTCTGTTTGTTTAGCTGGAGCTGCTGTAGTGGTCGATTTGGAATTAGTTACTGGTTTGTAATTGTATTTGTTTTGTTCGTTTTTAGGAACTGGCGGCCTTATTCGAGGTGCCTTTCGTGGTTGGCCGTAAATGGAGCTACCACTGATTGGTTTGATAATAGGTTTTTCCGCGGTGTCTTCGCTTTCTTCAGTTGCGTGCTTATTTTTGTTGGGACGAGTATTGACTCGTGTATCGCTGGGTTCATCTTCATAATAGTCGTCATCTCTTGAGTGTTTGTCATTCCTATTTGGCGTTTCATAATTTCGTTCATCGGATGGTCTGCGTTTGTTGTGTTTTCTGTCTTCGTTTGGGGAAGCTCTACGATCTTCTTGGCCACTTGGGTTATCTTCCTTATGCCTGCGATCATCATTTGGTCGTTTCTTGTTGTATTTTTCGTCGTCGTATTGTTGCCTATCGTCATAAGGTCTCCTGTCCCTATCTCCGACTCCTCTTCTTCCCGATCCTCTTCTTTCGTATCTATCATCTTCATATTCTTCATCATATTCATCTTCATATATTGGCCGAGGCCGTGGTCTTGGTCGTTTCCTTCGACCTCTTTGTCTTGGTGGTGGAGGATCATAGTAATCTGATTCATAATCTTCATCGTCATAGTAATCATACTGAGGCCGTGGCCTTCTAAATGGTTTTCTTCTACGCCCTCCGTTACCATTTCCTGGTCTAACAGAATCCGATGGTGGCGCCGGTGTTGTAGTTGTAGTGATCGNAATTAATGGGATTTATAAATGTATATGTGGATTTACCTGAATGAATAGAAATTATTTATAGATTATGGGGACTATTTCTGTAAAAGGGATTTATGATTTATACTTTTTCGTCAGCGGTTTTTCACTCGGGGTACATTAAATACGAGATATTTTTATGACTAACATTTGTATTTAAAGAAAAGTACATATTGTCACATGCAGGTAACCCAACAAAAAAGACGTCACATTCTGGTTCTTTAGAAGTTCTTCTGATTGCTTGACTTGGTGTTTGTTGAGATGGTTGCTATCCCAGAGACCTTGCGTGGAAAACTGTAAACATTGTTCATTTGCGGAGAAGAAGGAAGAATTGGCATTGATCTGTTGTAATCTAAGACCAGAGGAACGACAAAGATATTGGCCCAATAATGAGATGGAAAGAAACTGGAACCATGAGAGCACCGTGGGAAGATGTGAGCCATCTAAGACAGACAATGAAAAACTATGGGGCCAGTGGAATTCCCTTGCCACGGACCAAGGCATTTTGAAGAGAATATGGAAAAGATCCCGAATGTGACGTCTCTGAGTTTCTTTGTCACTATGTATGCTGGGTTACCTACACGTGACACTATATGTTGGGTTGCCTACATGCGACAGTATTTTATCAATTTATCACAAAATACATACACCTGCTTATTTTTCTTAGTACCATTTGAACATAAAATGCAACGCTGGATGACACTAAATGTTAGTATTCATTAATTTTGCTTTTTTTGAAAAGCGAAAAAAATTTTAAAACTTTCAGCCCTTCTTCAACTTGGCAATATTCAATAATATAATGAAAACTGACATACAGTAGATGCATGGTGTATGTTTAGGTATAAAGATATGCAGCATTAATTAAATGAGGTAATTAGTCTTAATTTTTGGTTGTTTTCATTATACGCTATTAGGGTTTTGAAGGCAGTTTCGTAAAAGCAGTTTTGTACTTCTGTTTAGTTGTACACGTGTCTGCTTACTTTTCATTGTATCTAATTGTTCCAATTATGCAATGGTTCGCTTGTAGCATTTTATTATGTACGTCATTGAGATGTTTTCTATTCTGTTCTTTTAGAAGTTGCTTGCGAGTCTGTTTACTAGGAACCAACGATCACTTACGAATTTTAAAGTTGGTAAAACTTTTCTTACTTCCTATTTATACTTAAGGACGTCATGAAACAAATGAAGCAATAACATCATCTTGTGGCCTTTTTATAAATATCTATTTGTCAATTTGTCATTGTTTGTGTGTTATCTACTGCAAATTTGTTCTCCGAGATGAGCGTCTGAGAATAATTCAGAAATTGATGGAGTAGTGCTTCAACGGCGCGTTTGTCAATTCCGTGTACTTATACATTTTCCAGCAAAAAGCATCAAAGTTGACCGATAGTGATTTGACGATTATTGCTAATTCTTGACCGATTTTTGATCATTAAATGATTTCTAGAACATCCGAGAGCATTCAAAAGCATTTGGTAGGGTATGTTAAGCAAGATCCGTCGTGTGTTCCAACGTTCGGGAACATCCCGAAACATTGTGGACTATCCAAAGCCTTTTTTGTACCTATGTACCTTTATCCTTTTATTCCAACTATCACACAATTTCATATCAACTCCCTGAGAGAAGCCCGGGTACCCCAGCTAGTAATAGATTCATGTTTTTTAGTGAGAAATATTGAAATTATATCAAAATGTACATAATATATCTAAATGGTTTACGACCATTTATAAAGAAAATAATTTAATAACAAAAAACAAAAACTTTACTAAATTAAACGTTAATTATTAACTCGGTGCTACTTCGTTTTATAATTACCTCTTTATAAAATTAAAAACTAAGATTTTTCGAATTTTGGATACTTTAAAATATACGTTTCGAAAACAAGAGTACTTATTCATATTCAAAGTTCATGTAATAATTTATTGACCTTTATTTCATTACACAAATTCGGTGCTCAATTATTGTATGTTTATTTGGAAAATAGGCTAAAGAAGCTTAATTTATTCTTGCAAACAATTGATTGTTATTCATGCTAACTCGTTCGGATAAAACAGGCAACTTGTTGCAATCGAACTTTAATAGTTTCACTAGAGGAGAAAGTGTAAGTTTTAAACAATACTGTAACAAAACGCACTTCATTCTTAGGACACTGCAGTTTACATGTAATCATACACTAAGTATGTGACAATTTTTTAATGTATCTTATAGTGTATAGTATATTTTCGTACCCTTCATATTTATAGCGTTTATTTTGATTTTTGTGGATGTGACTATGAGGGAAGTAATTAATTACAAAGTACATTACTTTAATTAAATTTAACGGTGCATTGCTTAATTAATTTGAGTAACTGGGAAAAAACTACCGCTATTTTACGGAACTCTAGATTGCCACATTTATTTTTATTTATTGTCGAGGAATCTTCGAAAGTTAATGAACTAGAAAAGAAATGCACCTGTAACAATTTACGTAAGTGTGGTAATTAAGCACTAGCAAGGAGAATCACCTCACTTTTACCATGTTTTACTTAATTGCTACGTTTAAGAATTTCAATTTCTTCAAGACTGACATGCCGATTAAAAACGAACTGCGTTTATCATGGTCTTTGTTTTTAATAATGTGTTTGTATTACATACGTATAGCCTATGACAAAATAACTGCATCTATCTACACATAAAATAGTAGGTACAAATCTTCCCATATCACGTAATGCTATATATGTATGTATATATATATAGGATGTAGTTATCAGTGAACTTTTTTGTTCACGCTTTTTTATTATATACCTGGTTTCATATCCCAAAATTTTTGGATGTAATTACGGTTTTAAGGAGCATGTTCAAAACTTGATAGTTCTCGTTAGCCAAGTGTTACACAGTCTCGATAAATCAAAGTTGTTCCGTACAAATAGATGCTACATATCAAGTAAGTGCCAGTGTGTCGCCATCTATTAATATTTGCTATTGTATTTTACCGCTGCGATCTGTAGCGTTTTACAATGTTTGATAAGATGCTTCTAAATCTTGAATTTGTGGTGTAAGGTATTATATGTACCTAGAATAAATATACGCGTCTAATATTCTTCTTCAGGGTACATCAAAGGGGAAACCACAGGGTGTATGGTGTACACCTTGTCGGAATTCAATGACTTGTAGGGATTTACTTTTTACATTGAGGAATTAAGGGGATTTATTTAAGAAAGCAAGGATTTATTGAAATTATTGAAGAATTACAAAAGATTTATTTCTATTTGGTAGGAAATACATTGTACACATGCGCATTATGTTCAAAAACATCAATTTTTGATACTGCAATTTATGACAAAACCCTCATTTATTACGTTGATCTTTAACCTGTTCCCCGTATTCTCTCTAATAATTCACTATTTGTTTATCTATATGTACCTTATCATTATTATTTTCTCCTCGTATATTTATCCCAACTAATTATATTTTTTAACCTTTCCTATTGCTTTTCCTTTCCATACTGTTTCTTTCTTTTGTCTTCCTTCTCTACCCCTAACTACACCTATTTCCACAATCTTTGTCTTATTGACATTCAATTGTAATTCTTCTTAAGTATTTTTCCAATACTCTCATCATCTCTTTTATCGCTCCATAATTTGTTGACATCAAAGCAATATCGTCCGCGTAAGTAATTGTCTAAATCTTTTATTGTCCTACCACTATTCCTCCCTCCCTTACCTTACTTATCATTCAATTCCACCTGCGTTTGCATTACATTTATTAACGAGAATGTCGCATCAATAGTTCCTCTCTCTTTTCGAAATCCAAACTTTATTTCGGCTAAAATATTTTTCATTTCAATTTCCCTTTCTAATCTAATTTTAATTATATCTGTAGGCATATATATCTTACACCTTAAAATTCATTCATTACGTACTCTAGAGGTACTTACCGAAATTACCATAATTCTTTAGAATTTCGGAGAAACTACAGTAATTATTATAGAATTACAGGAATTTGTGGGAAGTACGACAGAATTAATGGGATTTATAAATGTATATGTGGATTTACCTGAATGAATAGAAATTATTTATAGATTATGGGGACTATTTCTGTAAAAGGGATTTATGATTTATACTTTTTCGTCAGCGGTTTCTCACTCGGGGTAGGTACATTAAATACGAGATATTTTTATGACTAACATTTGCATTTAAAGAAAAGTACATATTGTCACATGCAGATAACCCAACAAAGAAGACCAGGTTTTCTAGACGTCACATTCTGGATCTTCAGAAGTTCTTCTGATTGATTGACTTGGTGTTTGTTGAGATAGTTGTTGTTGTTGGGTGGAAAACTGTAATTATTGTTCATTTGAGGAGAAGAGGGAAGAACTCGCATTGATCTGTTGTAATCTAACCACCTTTCAGCATGGCCGATCTTAGGAAGATAAGAAATTAATCTAAGACCAGAGGAAAGACAAAGATATTGAGCCAGTAATGAGATGGAAAGAAACCGGAACCTTGAGACCATCATGGGTAGATGTGAGCCATCTAAGTCAGACAATGAAAAACTATTGGAGCCAGTGGAATTCCCTTGCCTTGGACCACGGCATTTTGAAGAGAATGTGGGAAAGATCCAGAATGTAACGTCTGAAAATCTGGGTTTCTTTGTCACTGTGTATGTTGGGTTACCTACACGTGACACTGTATGTTGGGTTGCCTACATGTGACAATATTTTATTTATCAGTTTATCACAAAATACATACACCTGTTTCTTAGTACCATTTGAAAAAAAATGCAAC